ATATATATATATATATTCTTTCATTAACTTAGTGTGTATTTTTAAGGGAATGTACCAAGCAGAATTTGGTTGATAATAGTTATGTGTTATAAAATAGAGGTTAGAAAATGAATGGTATAACTGTAAAGGCATAATTTAAACTTTAAACAAGATTTGAATGGATAATAATTAAAAGATACAAAGGTGTTACACTCCAGTCTAGTAATTACAGGGGGAAAATTGTTTTATGAGAAAAGCAAATATGAAATTGTAAACAGGGCAGCCAAATGTATAAAAATATTGATTAGAAAGATACTGAAAATTAGAAAAAGATATGTAATTGAACTTAGAAAGGAATGAGATATTAAAAATAAGGTTATAGAAAGCAAGGAAAGGGAAAAACTATTGAGAAAACTGCAAAAATAGTTATAAGATATGGATTAGAATACATAAGATGAATATGTAATTGAGTTTATGTCTGTATGGAGAAGTGATAACCCAGAGCCACGCTGTTCTCAAAAAAAGATATTTTATTTGTATTTGTATGTTTTGTGAAAACCCAGATAAAACTCTATTTAAAAAAAAGAACATAAACTCTGACTTTGAGAGGGGCTTTTTCAATTTTGTAAAGGAGATTCTTTGCCTTCCAAAAATACAAATCACCATGTTCACAGGTAAAACAAAAAGCCTTTATAGAGAGGGAAATCAAGTATTTTATAGGGTACACAAACAAATGTATTTGGATACATTAGAAAGCAAATGATAAAACAATAAAATATATTGATTACAGGTAGTCCTCAACTTAAAACAATTCATTTACTGACAGTTCAAAGTTACAACACTGAAAAAGTGACTTATGACTGTTGCAGCATCCCCATAGCCACGTGATCAAAATTCAGACCTTTGGCAACCGACTCATATTTATGACGGTTGCTGTATCCCAAGGTCTTGTGATCATTTTTTGCAACCTTACAAGCAAAGTCAAAGGGGAAATCAGATTCACTTAACTGTGTTACTAATTTAACAACTGCAGCGATTCCCTTAACAATTGTGGCACAAGAGGTTGTAAAATGGGGTGAAACTCACTTAACTGTTATGATTAGTAACAGACATTTTGGCCATCACTCTGCTAAACGAATAATTCCCTCAACGCTGTCCAACTATTTACAAAGTCCACACTAATTAATCTTCTCATCACTCCTTATTGCCCATCCCCTCCCCCTTGCGACTGTATGACTGTAACTTTATTGCTTGTATCCTTATGATTTATATTGACTGTTTCCTAGTATGATTTGATTGCTTATTGTACCCTTTGACTATTATTAAGTGTTGTGCCTTATGATTCTTGACGCATGTCTCTTTTCTTTTATGTACACTGAGAGCATTTGCACCAAGACAAATTCCTTGTGTGTCCAATCACACTTGGCCAATAAAGAATTCTATTCTATATGTATATATACATAGCAACTAGACTGTTGTTTCGCCATGTCATATAATATATGTGGGTATATGCATAATTTTGTATTTATCTGTTTATTTTGTCATGTTTACGTAGTGTATATTAAGAGATAGAGACTTTTTGAGAGCCATATGCAACAAAATTTTATTTTAAATGTATGCCGGTACATTCAAAATGACAATCAAGTTATTCAAAGTCTAAAAGTCTAAGTCTCTATTGTTTAGTTGCTGAAAAGGCAAGGGTTTTTTTGCACGTGGAAAATGGTCTTTGGCTAAAAAGAAAGCACTGAATTTCGGATATCATACATACTAAACGCCTAAAATTCCATTCTTGGTTGCCAAGAAGCTTCCTCACGATCGGCTGGCCTGCCTCGGCTCTGCCGGGAGTCTCAACTAAGGCCGCCGCCGCCGCCGCCTCCCCTATTCTGGCTTTGACAAGACCCACTTTTTACTCGAGCCGCGCATCCCTCTGGGCATCCAGCAGGGGGCGGGCTTCTCCGGCGCCGTCGTCCCGCTTTCCCTCCGTTTCCTCGGCAGCGCTGGCCTCTCGCCTCGGGCGCCGCTTCCGCGAGCGAGCCGTCGTGGCGGGTGGGCTGAGTGTCAGGAAGCGAAGGAGCAAACGGGCCGTCGCCAGGATGCCGCTGGGCCTGAAGCCGACGTGCAGCGTCTGCCGCACCACTTCCTCGTCCATGTGGAAGAAAGGCGGACAGGGCGAGATCCTTTGCAACAACTGCACGGGCCGTTCAGGGCCGCCCGCCGCTGGGGCAGCGTCCTACGCCAGCACCTCCGCGGCCTCGCAGCACAGCAACGGCGGCAGCGGCGGCGGGAATAGCGGCGGCGGCGGCGGGGGGAAGCAGGTGAGGTGCTCAAGGAGCCGCCCCGAAACAATCGCTCGCCGCGAGGCTTGCTTCTTTTAGGCAGAGCTTCCCAACGCTAGTGCCACTCTGAGGCTGCGGGCCTCGACCTTCACCCGCCCCTCCAATCTTTCCCAAACCCCAAGCAGCGAGGAAACGGGTGTTGTTGTTTTTTTTAAAAAAAATACATTGAATGTTCGTATATCATTCCGAGTTATGGTTATAAATCTAACGCTAGTTTGAATTAGTGTCAACAAAAATTTACCTGCAGTTTGCTTTCTCCCAGTGCTAAGACGGGAGCATTAAACTACTGTTTAAAATACAGCAAAAAAGTATAAACAATTAAACTTTGGAAAGTGCGCTCGAGGTTAGTCCAAAATACGACATAAGACATTGAGAAAAGTTAGTTGCATCTGCTGGGATCTTAAACTCAAGGTTGACTTCCACCCTTCCAAGATGGGTAAAATGAGGAACCAGATTATTGGGGGCAATAGGCTGACTCTCTAAACCGCTTAGAGAGGGAAAGTATGTGCTTTTATATAAGTCTAAGTTTCTGTTGAGAAGTCCCATTAAGTTCACAGGTGTACTCATATATGTGTAGGGTTGCAGTCTTAATTGTGAACGAGGGCCTTTTCGCTTGGGAATAAAAGCTCACTCATAGGATTGAGGTATGCCAACTCAAAGGTTGCTTAACTGTTCTTTTTTTTTAACTAAATAACCACAGTTGTATGGCTTCATATACTAAGCCACACACAAATAAATATACTGGGTGGAACTACCAACTTTGTGGAAACAGCCTCCCTGTGGATGACCCCCCTCCTTTATTGATCTTTCAAAAATTTTGGAAAGTTGTTTTACAGAAACTTCTATTTTGGGATGTTGTTCTTTGTATTGTGCTGGTTTATTGTTACTTGTTAATGGATTTTTTGTAGGCGGCAGAATGTCTTTTGAAGGGTAGTGAGCTAGTCATATGTTTACAGATAGATATAGAGATAATGAAATACATGAGGTAGGATATTGGGATATTTCTCAGAATTCATGGAAGTGATTGGAAATTATTTCTGAGAACTGTGCCTTGTTTTCTTATGAGTCATTTTAACCTAGGAGGAAAGTATGAAAAAGATTTCTCATTGAAATTATTGAGATGTACTTTCAAGTAAATAAGTTTTGAATAGGAACTTAGTTTATACACTTTTTCACCTGTTACACTTTACTTATTTCTTTTTAAATATACATAACAATGTAAAATGGAATTCAGACTAACATTTATAAATATTTCTTATGTTTCATATGCCATAGAGTAAGCAAGAAATTCACAGAAGATCTGCTCGATTGAGGAACACAAAATATAAATCTGCTCCTGCTGCTGAGAAAAAGGTTTCCACTAAAGGAAAAGGGAGAAGGCATATTTTCAAATTAAAAAATGTAAGGAGATTGTGGACTCCTTTTAGTGTTAAGCATTTACTAATCCCAGCAAAACTTACAGTTTGAAAATTTCTTGACATATTATGTTTTCTACATGGTCAACAGTTATCTGCAGAAAAGCAACATAGTCAAAATCTATTTTTATATATGTACTTATGTATGCATAATTTTAAATATTATATGTAGATATTCAAGTGTGATGGATGCTCATTCATTGGTATACATATTGCACCAAGCTATTATTTTCATGTAATGCTGAATTATGAGCCATTGTTTATAAATCACAGTGACTGGATTTACATGCTTGAAAGTAAACCCAAATTCATTGGGTAAATTCATTTATTTCCTCTGTATTCCCATGGAAATAGTATCTTTGGAACTGGTCAGTATGGAAAATGAAATGAATTGAATGAATTTGGGATCAGTTAAGGAAAGGGGAAACATAGTGGTCTAGAAATTTTGTTGAGATGAGACTTAAAAAAACTAATGGACTAATAGTTTTTGCAACTATTTAAGGAGGTTTTATTCTTAAACTTTTACATTTGGGGCGATTGAATGGAGCTCAAGCGTTTACTGGCCGAATGCTCTTCCTGACACCTACATGGAGTTTGCAGTAAGCAATTACTCATTGCATCCCATAAGAAAAAAAACTTGCTGCTATCTAGGATCGAATTCACAGCCTTCTTTCTGATTGTGAGGCAAGAATTCCATCTCTATCTGCCTCACTGTTCTCTTTCGTTACTCCAACTCCACTCCGAGGCAAGGGATAACAGAATTGTTTAAAAAACAAAAAAACAAAATCTTAAGCTTCTAGTCTACTTTACAAAGAATGCTAAATTAGAAATTTTGTATTTTTTTTAATAAAAGAAAGCTTTGTATGGGGAGCATATCCTTATCTTCGTGGAATGAAATGTAGAATCTGAGCCAATCATCCACATGCCAACTATCAACATACCAATTATACTTGCTATACTATGCATATCATATTTGGTCTACAAATTCAAATTCAGAAATGTAACAGAATGAAATATGAAATTAATTAGATCATGTTCTTTCTATAATATATTTTTATTTTGTATTCCAAATTCTATTTTCTATTAATTCAGCTGCTATTTGTGCTTTATTTATTCTCTTGTTCAAACAGACTAACAGAATTGATCCATCTTTGGGAACTAACATTTGTTTAATGCTTGCAAGCTTTGTTCTAACAGGTCCATATTGTGTACAGCACAGTATACTTACATACTGCCAATGTCTGAACAAGATCATAATTTCCTATGTGAACACATTAAAAGTAATATAAGTTGCATCCAAGTTATTATAAACTCCAGTAATATCTATTCTGTTATTGTATGTTCATTTATTGAAATAGATGCATCTAGCTGCTCTGCTATAAACTAATGAATGGATTTCAGGCAATTTGAAATGCAGTTTTTATAATTTTTGATTTGATTACATGTTTATATTTTGACATATTTCCTGGTAATACTAGCCAGCATACAACTTTGGGTGCTTTTTTGTCATAGTTTTGTTCACTTCATTCATAAATGTTTTCTTTTTTTCTTTTAGCCCATCAAAGCTCCAGAATCTGTAGCCACAATCATTACAGCAGAATCTATCTTCTATAAGGTATGGTTTTGATGTTTTTAAAAACATTGTATTTATGTTGCTACTGTTAAGTAAATACACTGCTAAAGTTTAGGAATATTGAAGCAAAATGTTTTTTAAAAAAATCAAGGAAATGGTTTATATGCTGGTGGAAGAATTTTAATGAAGTTTATCTACTTCCTTAAATGATTTAGGAATTTTAAAATCCCTTAGGAAAACATATGATCAAAATATATTTTAAAAACATGAGTAGGATTTGGAATTATATATATACACACACACACACACCTATAATGACGTGGGAAAATACCCGAACAAAGCTGAATACCACACACACAGACACACACACACACTATTCTAAAATTAAAATATGTTTTAATTAAAAAGAGATTTTAATTTGCATGAGTGGAAAATTCAAGCAAATATGACATTTGCAAGAGTTAAGTTCTCTTCCTCCTATTCAAAGATCCAAGTCTGTAAGAGTTCTTATTGTAAATACTTATATTATTGAATAACTATATTCCACGTTTGAAATATTATTCAAGTGTGTTTGTTACTATAATCGGGTAATGAATTTACAGTTTATAGTATAGTGAGTTTATGTTATTGCTAGTACAATATTACTGAACTGTGTGAGTATACACATAGGATAATATATTAAATAAAGTGGTTGGAAAATTCATGGCTGAGCTATGATATGGATTGGAACTATGGACTATGTATTTCTGAAGTGTAATTGTATATTTTTTTATTAAAAAATAAAGAAACACTCCCCCAAGGTCTTCCTATGCTTGGGCTTCAGTGTCTTCTTGGGAATGGTAGGCATGAAATTTTCTCCCAAAATCTAATTGGCTCTAATCTTAAAAGTCCCACATAGAGAAGTAGTTACTTTTCTTCCTCTCCTTCCTTTAAGAACGCATACATTTAGGTCTTTCACAATTGTTTTGATCAACAGTTTGCAAGTTGACTTGAAATGATTATACAGCACAGGTGTGTTAAAATTGCAGGGAAAACTTGCAAAGGGAAAACAACCAATGGGACTTCTTTCCCTAATATCTTTTAATTATTCTAAGCATAGAAACATACAATTCTAATGAATTAAGCTTTATTAAAATGTAACATTCTATACCTACAGTTTCACTCTTATGTGCTAATTCACTCGTGTGACTCTCACAATCAGAGCTAGTCAAACATCTAGTCCAGTAACATGGGGATATCCTAGATAGAGGGTCTGCAGCAGTGTTCCTTTTGTTTTGATCTTTTATTTGAGAATTGCTGAACTAAATTACCTTGCACAACAGTTATTTTTAATCTGCCACTTAAATGTTTATTTTTCCACCCATAACAGAACAAAAGTGGAAAGCTGGAACATAAAAAGTATGAATACAGGAGCTCAAAATAGGAAAAAGGGAAGTGAATCAATTATGCATTGATATTTTAGGCATCAGTAAATTGAAAAGGACTGGAATTGAACACTTTAATATGTAGGGATGCAGACCCGAAGGGATTACCTTGCTTTCATAATTAGGAAGGATATAGCAAAGATGATATTTGGAGACAGTATGGTGACTTAATAATAATTAGAATTTGTGGTTTAGCTTTTAATATGACAGTTATTAAACTTATACGCCAATCACTGAAAACAGATAAGTGGATTTTTATGGTCAAGTTAATCTTACCATAAAAATATTCATTTGTTTCCATAACATTTTTCCATTCATCCATAGATCCAAAAACCCTTATCATTTCTGTCAAAGTTTGAGCAAAAAATTCACAAAAGATTTCCAGAATTTTATAGAAATAATTTTGTTTTATTCCTGATCAAATAATCAACTTTGTTATTTTCCTTTGTTTTTGACAGTTGTTAAAGATTTTTTTTTTAATCCCTCATTATTTTTATAAGAAATTCAAGGTAGAGAATATAATATTCCTAATATTCCTTCCTTCTATTTTCCTTACAACAACAATGTTCTGAGGTGATTTGGGCTGAGACAGAGTGACTGATCCAAAGCCTTTCAGTCAGCTTTTATGCCTAAAGCAGGGCTAGGACCCTACACTCGTTTGTAGCCTGGTATCTTAAGCAGACCCGTGGTGGCAAAACCTATGGTACACATGCCGGAAGTGGCACGCAGAGCCATTACTGCCGGCACACGAGCACTCGCCCAGAAAAGGCCTACGGCACATGCGCATGCACCACCTGCCCGCCAGCTGATTGTCAGGTATCTGGTGTGCATATGCGGGGGCGCGGGGGCACACAGAAGACACTCAGGCATGTGCAGAAGTACAAAGTGCGGGTTGTGTGCGCATGCGCAGGAGGCATGCCCCCCCTGCGCATTGCCTTTTGGGTGATAGCACGCGAGGACGAGTAGGCAAGCGCGCACGCATTTATCGGCACCGGAGCCCAAAAAGGTTAGCCACCATTGCACTAGACCAAAAGTGTCCCTTGTAATCTTTTATTTTTAAATCTTGATCTTTAATTCATCAAGTTACTGTTGCTATTGATTAAAACTCCAATCAACCTTTATTTCCTCAAGAAATTTCAAGGTTTAGAACTCCCTTTTTAAACAAACGAACAAAAAAAATCCAGTGATGAATCCTTTCCCAGATCATTTTTCATCTCTCGGCTCATCATTTGTTTTTTCCATTCTGCAATCATCTCTGTTTTATAAACCAACATTTATTTATTTTCCAATATTTATCCATTTATTAGAACTTATTTCATATCTTTTCTTATTGGTCTATACTTTCTTTTATGTTTATGATGCTAATAAAGATTTATTTTGATTCGTGTTCATTTTTCCATCTTTTTTCTTCTTTAGAGTCCTCAAAATTACATTATTAGGTGAAGAAATTATTATTGTCATTTTAATTATAAGAACTTTCAAATTCTTTAAAATCATACCTTTGTTTATCATTTTATAAATTTCACTGTTTCTCTTGATTCAAGGATAAAAGGCAGGGTTTTTCCACCCACATTTATTTCTTTTTTTCAGCCTTGGACTTTAGTCCCCTCTAGTGTCCCATTTCTGTAATCACATCTCATCTTGTCTTTTTCTTTCTTTTCAAATTTCGACTAATCATCTCTTTCTTAATAGACTATATCCCCACAAATATTTTATTTTATTTTGTTGTTTCAAAAACCCTAATATCCCTAATTTGTTTTGTCTCTTGATTTGTTTTAAACTGTCTTCAATTATTATTTAGCCTTATCCATTTTTTTTTGTTTTTCAAACATTTTGCTTGGGAGAGCTCTTTTAAAATAATTATAAATCCAAAGTTAGGAATTGAAGCTAGACAGATCCACTGTTTTTAAAGGCTCTGCTGTCTTGAGAATTTGATGGCTTCTGTCATCTCTTATTGCTTAGACCTGCTATCTTGCAGTCTCCTTCAAGGAATAGTTGTAAGCATAAGTGGAAGATGTCTCATTTTGTCCAGAGGGATCCTATTGGTCCAGTTTTGTCAGTTCATCAGCCATATCATAATCTTCTCTCTTTTGTCCTCATTGCTTCATCTTTTGGAATATCATCCTGATGAGAAATCTACACACAGTAGAGCAGGCATGCCAAGCCTGCAGGCCAGATATGGCCCATGCAGGCCACGCCTACTCCAGCTCCATAAAGGCAAAAACAATCCTGATATATCACAATACGGCCCGCGATGCGATCAGGTTGGACACCTCTGCAGTAGAGGAAGCCACTGCCTGTAAGGACCATTATGAAATAGGATAGTTCCTTCTGGCAAAAGAGGGAGATAGGCTGTATATTCCTTAGTTTTTTCGATCTATATGCTAAATGTATATTGGGGAAACTGGGTTGGACAAAATTTCTGTGGTTTTAAAAATGGAAGAAGCATTAATAGCTTATAGAACGGTGAAACTATTCTGATACACATACTCTAGTAATAAAAGTAAACAAGTACAGTAAAAAAAATGAACTACATTTATGAACTACATTTACAAATGAACTACATTTGTACAAAGACAAACTAATGAAAAGTATGGCCACCAGCGTTATAGCTACCCTTTTTTATTTTTTGCAATAAATTTTTATTATTTTCTACCAGTACAAATCTTAATTAGATTTTTCTAATTAATTAATTTTTTCTAATCAGAGGTATCCACCTCTGATATTGTTATCTCCATTTTCTATTTGTACATGTCATATATACATAATCCTCTTACAAAAAGTTATTTGCTATTATTCATTTATCTATCCATATAGATATTGTGTATCCCTTTCTTGAGGTTCTTTTCTAATCATCTTACCTAATTTTCTTTTTTCCTAGCCACACGTACCATCTATATCAAACTGAGTAAAATATATAATATACTATTATCTTACAATTCTATCATCTATTCATACATATACCGTATATGCCGGCGTATAAGACGACCCGGCGTATAAGACGACCCCCCAACATTTCCACTCAAAATATAGTTTGTTATATACTCGCCCCCTCTTCCGCACGCCTTCCACTTTTGCACTTTTTTTTTTTTTTTTGAGGCACTTTTGTCTACCGTGGAAACGAATCCCGTGAAGCTGAAAGGAGCAGCCAGCCTTCTCCCAGCTCCCAAGGAAACGAGGCTCGCACCGCCCGGGCTCCGCTGAGGTATCCGGCTGGGGCTGTCAGGAGTTGTTACCGCTGGCGTGGCTCCGCGCGGCTCCAGTCCCGCGTTGCCTCGGGAAGGGAAAGGCAAAAAGGAAGAGCCGCGGCGGCGCTTTGCAATGGCAGCAGCGGCTCCTGGTTTTGCCTTTCCCTTTCCGAGGCAACGCGGGACTGGAGCCGCGCGGAGCCGCGCCAGCGGTAACAACTCCTGACAGCCCCAGCCGGATACCTCAGCGGAGCCCGGGCAGTGCGAGCCTCGTTTCCTTGGGAGCTGGGAGAAGGCTGGCTGCTCCTTTCGGCTTCACGGGATTCGTTTCCACGGTGCGCAAAAGTGCCTCAGCCGCGGGCAGCCGCAGTGCTTCCCAATTACTATTTGCCGGCGTATAAGACGACCCGGCATATAAGACGACCCCCCCAATTGGAGGCATCTTTTTCAGGGCAAAAAAGTCGTCTTATACGCCGGCAAATACGGTAGTTGATATATATTGTCTTTATTTACAATTACAATCGTTATTTCGACCTTTTTGTTTCTCCATTTATACATTATACATCACATTCCTGGATTTTTTTTTATCCTTTCTATTTCTTTCTAATAGAAATCCTTTCTATTTCTTATCTCTCTTTTCTAGCCACATATACCATCTATGCCAAATAGAGTAATATTCAGATTCTTCTTTTTCTCTTATTTTTAGTGTAAGCATATCCATTTCGGCACAGTCTGTTATTTTTTGCAAGATTAATTCCTCTGTTGGGACCATATGCTCTTTCCACACTTGCACATAAGCTATTCTGGCCGCTGTCAGTATGTGTAGCATTAAGTATTTTATCTCTTTCGGATATTGTTTTTGAATTATTCCAAGTAAATAGAGTTCCGGTTTGAGTCCAATTTGATATCCAGTGATTTCTTGCATCCAATCCCTAATTTTATTCCAATATGTCCTGGCTCTGGGGCACAGCCACCACATGTGATAAAAGGTACCGTCGTTGACATTTCCAGCATTTTGGGTTAGAGTTCGGGTATATCCTAGCTAATCTTGCCGGGGCTAAGTGCCACCGGTAAAACATTTTATATAAATTTTCTTTATATGCTGTGGCTGTTGTCAATTTATAATTTATATTCCATAATTTTTCCCATTCGTCCAAATTTATGTTATAACCAAAGTTGCATGCCTATACTATCATTGTATTTTTAACGGTTTCTTCTTCCATTTTGAAATCTAGTAAATATCTATATGCTTTAGATATAAATTTTTGTTCCAGTCCAAGTAAGATCTTGTCTAATTGATTTTGTCCCACATCAAATTCAAATTCTTCTGAATCTGTTTTGTATCTATTTTGAATTTGAAGATATGGCCACCAATCAATTATAATTCCTTGTTTTTTCAACTCTTGATTTGATTTTAATTTCCCTTGGGCGAGCTTCCCTCTTTTTAGATTCACTGTTATCAGTAAAGGAAGCAGTCAAAACATATGTCATATGTCAGCATTTAGTTGGGTAACAATGAAGGGCTTACACACAAATCCATTGTCTATCTAAAATATTATACTCCCTCTTTAATACTATATAGAAACTAGAAATGGAAGTTTGATGTCTGAAAAATCAAGATAGAAGGATCCTTTGGAAATTTAATTTTGGAGGACATTTTTCAGAATGCAATGGATAACCATAAATAAATAAGAACTCTCTTAAGGCAAAAATGATTATGCTCAAATTATTGAATTTTGGCTACATTATGTCAGTGGTCCCCAACCACTGGGCCCTGGACCGGTACCGGTCCGTGGATCATTTTGTACCGGGCCACCTATTTTGCTTGGGCGCCGCCATCTTGTTTCGACGGCGCTTGAGAAAGTGCTTCCGGGTGAGCTTGTCGGTCGTCGGTTGGAAAGCGGCGTTTGGGTGCTGAAGGAATCCTCGCGCCTTAGTTTCATCGAAGGCGGGGGGCGGCTTCGAACGAAGAGCCATCCCGATGGCGGTGGAGTCTCGCATTACTCAGGAGGAGATTAAGAGCCCCAAAAGCCCATCGACCGCGAGAAAGTACAAAGGAGGAGTTGAAGGTGGCGGGGAGAAGCGGGGGACGGCTGGCTGGCCGGTTGCTCGGCTCGCCTTGCCTTGGTCGTGCGTGTTGATGCCGGTACCGGTTCGTGGATCGGTCCGTGGATTGTACCAGTCCGTGGTACAAAAAAGGTTGGGGACCACTGCATTATGTGAAATCATAACTCTGGGAAAGGTGTACAGAATAAGAATGAGAACTAGCACAAAAGTATATGGACTCAATTATTGCCACAATGGTTGCATCATTGGAAGACTGAAGGGGACAAATCATCCTGGAGAAGATCTGACTGTATAATTGCTGGAAATTGATCTAATTTGATTACACATAATCAAATATGCTTTTTTTTCTGTCAGATGAGTTGCTGTTGTTTTTTATCAAAATACATTTTTATCTCTTAAGGACTAATATCAATTCTTGTTGGAAGACACTAAATATTTACTATATTTAGGAATTTTTTGTGTTAGAGAAGATGCTACAGACTTAAAGAGAAAAGGCAGAGTTTGTATAAATTAACAGAATCTATCAGCTGCAGTTAAGTTTTTTCATTTTACATTTTTAACAATCTGTATCTTTTCTAGGGAATATACTATCAAATTGGAGATGTTGTTTCAGTGATTGATGAGCAAGATGGTAAAACATACTATGCTCAGATTAGAGGTTTTATTCAAGACCAATACTGTGAAAAAAGTGCAGCTTTAACATGGCTTATTCCTACTACAGCAAGCCCAAAAGACTATTTTGATCCTGCAACTTACATAATAGGTAAGTTCCAAGGACTAAAATATTACGTCTGGCTTGTCCTGTGGATAATTGTACAGCTTCAAAGTTAATTTGTTTTTCTCCCCTAGAAAGGCACTATCAGGCCTATCTTTTTAGAGAAGATAAATTTGTATTCATTTATTGAACAGCAGCCTCTTACGTTCAATGTTTTTATGTGCTAAGGCAAAAATGCCACTAAACAGGATCAATTTACACATTCTTTTCAGCAGTGTATGTCAACCTTATATATTATATATTAGCTTTCTTCTATCTGGGCACCTTCCAAATGTATGGAATTCAATTCCCAAAATTTCCCAACCAGTAGAGCAACTAAGAATACTGGGCATTGGATTACAGATCTGGAAGAAATGGAAAGACTAGCTTTCCACCAATCAGCCTTATAAATCTCAAGTCCAAAGAATCTGAAAAAATAAGGTACAGAATTATATAATAAGTTGAATACATAGTCTTTGCTTTGCTTTAACATCATCTGGAATAATCATGCAGAAAATATCATTATAGCTCCATACTATGAATTTATGTCAATCTGCTTTATTTATTAAATCTACTGTGATGCCCATTCCTATAGTCTGATCAACCTACAAAATCCAAATAGATACTTAAAATAAAACACATAAAATACGGCAACCAGATTAAAAACAACTCTAAAAAATGAAAGCATTGTGGTGGTCATACAAATATATTAGCCCCAGGCTTGGAAGCAAAGTAAGGTCTTAATAGCTTTCCAAATTCCAGGAAGAGGGGGCATCTGGGGGATTGCTGCTGCAAAGGAGTGGGATAGTGACAGAAAAGGCATGCCTCTTCATTCCCACAAGATAACAGTATTTAATTGAGGGGGTCCTAGAATGTGACCACACCCATTCTGACCATACAATATTTCTCTACCTATAATTGCAGTTGGGACTAGAATTCTATCCTTAATCATGATATCTCTTAAGTAAAATTTACCACATGATCGGGCCCAATTTTACAACTATTTTATGGTAGTCATTAAGTAGCCGTAAATCTAAAAAGGGTGTGCAACTCACGTGACATATCAGGATTTTTTTTTCCCCCTTCGCTAAACCGGGCGTGGGCATGACCAGCATGTGAGGGATCTGGCTCATGGGCCAGGAATTTGATGGTCCTGGTCTAAAATATGCAGTTCTTAAGCTAATCTTATGGTCCCAAGTCCAAAGCCATTTTCTCAAATCAGCAGGTTTTGTCAGAAATTTGGGGGGGGGGGGGGGGGGGGGGGGGGGAAAAGAGAGAAAAGAAAACTTCACAAATCAGGATTACGTGACTATAGCAGCTCAACATTTCATGATAATTAGAAGAGCTTTATAAAGCATCTTTTTTGAGACTGTCTTAACTTCAAAGGGTCACTGAACAATCAGTCATCAGGACTACTTGTACTGGATAGGCAGAAAGGATTAGATATAGGTAGACCCTCAGATAACCAGGACTTAACTATAAAGGACTTTATACACCAAGCACCTTGAAATGCACCTGAAAGCCAGATGGTAACCAGTGCAGCTCCTGTAGCAGTGATGACACAGAGGAGTTAACAAAATTGTCACTGCTCATGCCACTGCATTTGGAACAACTGTAGCTTGCAGGTGGAAGCACCAGAGCCCCACTATGTAGAGCACATTGCGATAGGTGTTAGTGAGACTATCTGAAGAACTTCCTGTGTCAGGAAAAGGTGCACACAAAATGTACCTGTGCAAGGGCAGTCCAGGCCATAGCTGCCACCTGCTGATGGAGCAATAACTGCACAACCAAGAGGACCCCAATATTATTCTGTAGTTTTTTTGATGTAGATGTATGTATCACTACCTGAAAAATAATTTATTTTTTTTAGGACCAGAAGAAGATCTTCCAAGAAAAATTGAGTACTTAGAATTTATCTGCCATGCACCTTCAGAATACTTCAAATCTCGATCAACTCCTTTTCCTACAATTCCCACTAGGCCAGAAAAAGGTTATATCTGGACTCATGTTGGACCTACTCCAGCAATTTCAATCAAGGAAACTGTTAGTAGCAGCTTGTAATATCCCTTCAAAAAATGCTTTTATTTATATTTTAAATTACCATCTGACTTCTATTTATTGTTTAAATCTCTGCCTTTGTTTATTTTTCATTTTTAAAGCTGTTTTTTCCTTAGAAAAAATACAATTTAATCTAGATAAATGAATATTTTAAAGTATTTCTGCTGTATTAGAACTCTGCCCTTATGTTAGGATACAGTATACAGTAATTTGTATTTAATTTGATCATGGGGCAGAGGGATAGAGACAAGTATTCATTAAAAAGTGAACTGAAATTATAGGAATTATACGAAATTATAGGAAAATGGAGGAAAATCTTGATACAGATATATCAAAATACTATTTAAAATGTTTAATCTAAAACTTTATGAAGAAAAATTTCAGTACATTTCCATTGTTCCACATGTTCTGTGATATCCTTATCTGAAAAAAAAAAGTTACAAAGACTCCCTTACAATAAAATCCATGGTGATTTTAAGAAAAATGTAAGGATTAGTTCTAAAACAATTTTGGTGGAAAATCATCTGTTTCAACATGATTCCATTATAATCGGCACTTTATTTAGATGATGGCTTTTGCCAGAACTTTAATGTGAATTCTTGAACCAACTTTTAATTTTTGTGATGTATTAATGGGGGTCCCCAACCCCCAGGCTGCATCCCATTTGGAATCAGGTTTTCAGAAGTGGTGGGTGAACACCCCCATGCAGCTGCATTTGTGAAAGTGGCATGTGCGCATGCACGAAACCATCCCCTCTTCTCCAGTCAGCCAAGCTGGAAAGGTTGACTGCTATATGAAAGGATATCTTTTTGATTCATTCCAAGGGTAATCTAGAGGCTCGGGGAAATGTAGGTTTCTATTTCTTTACCTTAAATCTTTGCGGAGAACTGGTTGTTAGAAGAAATTACTGGCCTAATCCTGTAAGGAAGGTAGGAAGGAAACATTCTGGTGTTGCTTACAGAAACTGCCTCTCTGTTAACCCTTATTACATTCTTGGCAGGACTAGACTTCCTGTCTCAGGAACTTCTCTGGAGTTTTTTTCCCCTCCTTTGCTGGTACTTTGCTTATATGGAGTGACCATTCAGTTACAATGGCACTGAAAAAAGTGACTGATGACCATTTTTCACACTTACGACTGTTGTAGCATCCCCACAGACATGAGAGGCCAGGCGAGGAGATGCATGCCTCGATGTGAGTGATATTGAGTTGGCCACACCCAGCCAATAACATGACCAAGCCATGTCCACCTAGTCACATGACCAAGCCACACCCACCAGCTAAGCCACACCCACAGAACTGGTTGTTAAAAATTTGAATGCCACCTCTGGTCTTAAGACATTGTTCAGAAATGGAGATTATTAAATTTGGACAATACAGAAACCTGGTGCAATTATTCTAAATTATATAATTTTGTGTCAGTATGTTGTATGTACCAATTTAATTGTAAATTGTTCAGAAACCATATTTAAATTGTGGCTTAATGTAAGGCTCAATCCCAGCCTCCCAGCCTGATTATTTTCATTTTTATTTGGTACCAGGTTTAATTTTAATATCAAAATGGCTTTTTATACTGCTGCTACTACTCATGAACGATTTTGAAGAAATCCAGATCTATTTTTTTTCTGTATCATCGCATAAAACAATAAACAGACTGTATTCACATCTAGACTCTAATACGTGAAGGATGAATGCATTAGAGAATGAGTAAAAATGGAGCTTCTGGTAAAAAGTATTTCTGATGTTCTGGAAGTGCTGTATGAATAATTCTGTTGTTTATAAATCCTATTAGATTATAGGTATCACAGAGTTGTTTTGCATTAACTTCAATTTATTAAGACTTGTTTAGGTAGATACTCATTTAGCTTTATTGTCTTGGACAGTGTTCAGTTACCAGCAATTGCAAGCTGCCCACATTTACAACATTCACAGCATCTCTCCCAGTCACATGTTCATCATCACTGTCAAGTTAATAAGCATTATCCTGTGCCAGATTTGTTTTTTTCATCCCTCAAACTGGAGTGTCTAAACAAGTGATCTTTTCCAGGGTTATTTTCCTCTGCAGCACAGTGTCTCTAAAACACGTGAACAAGCTCAGCTCTCTGACTTCAGTTAATTAGAACATTCTAGTTTGTGCTACTGATGCTTGACAAAACTAATCAGTTTCACACTAAAGGTTTTTGTTTGCCTCCTAAGCAGCTTGCTAAGCCAATAGCTGGTGCTAACACATTTCTTTCCATGTGTACTCCTCATTGTGTGCCTGATTATTCTTTTGTAATCCCTTCCTCTCCATTGAATGAAATACAAACATCAATTCTCCTATCACTAATTATCCCAGGAAGAACATTCCAAAAGGTGGAGAGTTGGAGGTTGAGGAAAAGAGCTGCCCTGTTCCCTGGCTTTTGTTTGAGTATGGAAACCTTGCCTGCTGTTTGGACTCAACTGGCTATTTGGGGTTGTTCCCTGAGGCAGCAAAACAAAGCAAAAGCAAAGCTAAAGTAAAATAAAGCTCAACCATGGTCCTATAATGTTCACATAGCAAGCACTTAATGACTGAGTGGCTGGAACAAATTTCAGTCACTAAATGAGGGCTGAAGACATGATTACTAGCAATGTCATGACAAAGTAGCAACAACAATGTATTAGAATATTTGGGGGTTTCCGGTTTGCTAGCCTTCGGCGGCAGCAGGGATCTGCAACCACGCAATCCCTGCTGCGTTCGCCGCCAAGGTTCCCCCGATCCATTTGGATCTGGGGGATATAGCTGCCCCATAGAGGCAGCTGAAGATAGGGGGGATCCGGCAAGGGGTTTGGGGGTGTCGCAAACCCCCTCCCCAGCCAGCTAAACTCCCTTTTCCCGAGGCGGAGGAATGGCGGTCAGTAATGGCCGCCACGAAGAAAGCTGCAGCCGGGTAAGCAAGTGCAGGAGGGAGAAAGCTGGAGAAAGTGAAAGGTGCTTTTAACCGGGACAAGACGGGAGAAAGTGATTTGGAACCTTGAAAGCTGTTAAGGATATATTGTTCCTTGTGAGAGCCACAAGCTGCGAATACCCTAAAGGGGAAAGTTTTTTTTTTCTTTGTTCTACTCTCCTTCCTAAAGTGACAGCGGGGAAAAAAAAATCTTTTTGGCTGTGAGTGGGAAGGGAGAGTGAAAAAAAAAAAATCAGAGCAAAATTTGAAAATAAGGAGAAGATTGCCTAGAATTGCAAAGAGTTTAAAAACTTCCCAAAAATATATTTGAAAAGGATTTGTGATTACTTTAACCTCAGAAAGAAAAAGTGAAGAAGAAGAAGGTATTTAAAAGAAACAGTCTGTTTGGATTGTTTGGTGATTTTGGAACCTTTGGAAATTATTTCTGATTAAATCATCTGGGTGGTTGTTTGGAAAAACTTTTTCTCTACACAATGGCATCATCTGTGGATGGATTGGAACTTATATATCAAAAATATGAAAGAGAAAAACGAGGGGAAGATGGACTTGGCACTATTTTTTCAATACTTAGAAATGGCGGTTTATATTTATGCGAAGCAGAATGAGGATGATGGGGACAAAGAAGAAGAAGAAGCCATCTTTGATGAAAAAAGGACTTTGATTGGAGATGGGAAAAAGCAAGAGAAAAAGGAAAAGAGGTCTTTAAGATTTGAAAAAACAGCCCAAAAAGAGAAGAATAAGGTGAAAAAGGGACATTATGTTAAGAAACAACAGAAAGGGGGAAAGCAGAATAAAAGGGAGGTGGAGAGACAAGGGGTTAAAGAGGACAAGAAGAAGAAGCAAGGGAGAAAGGAAGGGATGAGAAGCTCTAATGGTGGGGAGCAAGATATTAAGAAGCAAGTTTTTCAGAGATAATGGATAGATCTTATTGTTAATGGGATTCTAGAAAGGTACATAAGATTGCATTTTTATATCTGTATTTAGAAGTAATTATAGAAAATTAGAAATAATATGTAGCTTAAAATGTGATAAAATATCTAACATAAATAAGTGAAATTTTTGTTAAGAAAAAGAGAGTACTGTAATGAAATATGATTCAAGATTGTGATGTGGGGGGTAATAATCGTGGAAAGCATAAGTGTTCCCACAAAGGCATGATATTCAATTGAAATGGATAAAATGTTTAAGATATAAATGATTGTTAAAATTAATGATTAGAACATGGTATACTAGCAAAATCTTTTGTGAAATGAGATTTGAAGTAGAAGAAGGAGGAACATTTCAACGAAATATTGAGCTATAATATGTGATGTGGGGGGGGGGATAATTATGGAAAATAGGGCTCTCATAAAAGCATGTGATTTAATTGAAAAGTAATGAGTTAAACGTCTAAGATACGAATGAATATCAATACTAATGAATAGATTTGTATTATTTTTGATAATATAATTTTAGAATGTACCAGGCAGAATCCCAATGTATGTTATGTATTTTATATTAAGTACTATAAATATAAGGGAAAAAGATAAAGGCATCATACTCCATATAGTGTACAGGAGAAGTATTTCTTCTTTTTTTTAAAGAAGAAAAATAAATGATTGGCTGGAATAGAACAGACAAAGAATAATAAATATTAGGATATGAATTGAGAGGAGGAAAAAAATTGAGAAAATTTAAAGGAGAGGAGAAGTTATATAGAAAATTGAAAATGTTAATAAGATATGAAATGGTATGTAAAATGAATATGAAACTGAACTTGTGTCTGTACCAAGAGTTTTAACCCGGGACTAAGCAACTTTCAGAAAAGAGATTTTTTATGCTTTTATGTTTTGTGTTTATGTGTATTTATGTATTGTTTGTCTTGAAAATAAAACTTGTTTAAAAAAACAACAACAACAATGTATTAGAATATTTGCAAGAAATACCATTTGCCTGCAACAATTGGTGAGACCACAAAATAGACTAAAGCAGTGTTTTTTAAATCTTCACCACGGACCCCCTTTAAATACCTATTGTGGCCATGGACCATGACCACAAACCACCAAGACTTAACTGAAATTTATATCATTTTTCAAATTTTTGTGGACCCCCTCTGACGACATTGTGGATCTCCAGGAGCCGGCAGACACAGATTGAGAGCCACTGGACTAAAAAATAGTAAATGAATCTATAGTGCTCTGGGACTATAGAATTCAAACAGACAGGCACACCCCAGTCTTAGCAATTGTTGATAAGAAACAAGTCTAGGTAGTGGACATGTCAGTACCCGGTGACAGCAGAATAGGAGAGAAAGAACTGGAGAAAATCCCCCCCAAAATACAAAAACCTACAAACAGAATGGCTGGCAAAAGAAAGTAAAGATAATACCAGTACTAATTGCCTTTAATCCAATCCCAAAACATCTGGAGCATCAGTTGAATATATTGGCATTGACAAAATCACATCAGTCAATTGCAAAGGCAACTTTAGTTGGAACAGCTTATATTTTTAGTTTATACTTTTAACACAATGCAGACATTCTTAGAAATTCTGTTTTCTATACGGAAGAAATACTAACTGAAAATGATAAACCATTTCTACCCATTGATTCCATTTCCCCCCACATTGGAATGAAATACTGGAATACTGAAGTTGAAACATGACGACATCCAGCAATATCTCCAATTTAGTGTTGTGTTTGTAGCACTAGCATTTTCTAAGACATTGGTTAGTCCTGCAGTTCCACCAACCAAGCCTGCATAAAACAGAATGCAGAATAAACAAGTCAGCTAGATCCATGTTTGGCAGCAACATCCAACTTTCAGTGAAGGTTCAGGGAAAGATTCATTCCAAATTATTCATACACAGTATTGATACATCCAACATGCATATTTTGGCACCTCATTTTTTTAGGTATATAAACCAAGTCTAGTATATGACTTGATTTATTTATTGGACAATAATAATTTAAATAAACCTAATCAAATTTTTCAGCTTTCCAGAGAAAGTCTTTTGATAACTATTGAGTAACATGGAAGTTTACATTTGGTATAATATGCAAGTTAAAGTTCTGCAGAATGAATTGGTACCCCAACAATATCCCACTTGCGAAATTATAAATGCTGGTATTAAACTACGTTAGCAATCATCGCTGAAATGTATCACAAGAACTTAAGTTCACATGCTAAGTTTTTACGGAGGAGATTTCAATACCTACTTGTCATCCAGTAATTGCCCAGATTTTTCTTGCATAACTAGGACAGTTCTAATATTGAGACTCTTTTGACAGAAAATTTCATCTGATAAAATAGATATCTGGTAGTTGGCTGGCATCAAAAGAAATCTTGACATTTTAATTGGCCTGTTTGATGAAAAATTTGGAAAATATTGACCCTATTGTTTAATAATTTTGCTTTTATCTTCGGCTATTTCAGTGTATTAGCCTTCAACCTTTATGTGTTTAATATCTGTGCATTACTATAAACATATTTGGTGTAGTTTAAACTTTAAATGTTTTCTAAAATGTACATAAACATTTTAAAAACAAAAACAAATTTTTGGTTAACAATATACAATAATTTACTCAAGCTGCATGTCTGAAATGCATTGAAAATGTCACATAAGGAATTGCAACCAATAATTTATTACAGTAAATTAGTGATCTTCAGATTTTACAAATCTAAGATCTAACTTCTCTATATTTAAGATGTAATACTACTGTAAAAAGGAAGAGTAGAATCCATTCTCCATTGCATTGCTGAAAAGTACATTAATTATATGCAACTCAAATAAACAATTTTTTGAGCAAATCACATGTGCGTTTAACACTATTCAGTAAAATTGTTTAAAATCCTAGTACGCATAAAGTTGTTTTGATTCTTATTTTAGTCAGAATGTTTTGCAGTTACTACAGGTAATCTTCAGACAATTGGAACTGAGAACTCCATTACGTGATATGATAGTAAAAATTATATGATCAGATTGTTTAGTAATGGCAATTTCAACAGTTCCAATTGCTGTTGTTAAATGAGGATTTCATGTAATTGTGACTTCTGACTTCCTGCCAGTTTTTCAATTGACTTTGCTTGTGGAAAGCTGGCAAAATGTGATCACATGACCATGACTCAATGTGATGTAATCATCATCCCAGGACAAATATCCAGATGTGATGGCTGAAGCTGGTTGCAAAATAAATAGAAATGTTTCCAGAAGAACAGCATAACATACAAGGAGACTTATAGAACTGAATGTTAACCAGAAAAATAGAACTTTCTCAGAAAGCAAAATACAGTACACATCAAGAAAACCAAGTTTCAGTGTTTTTAAACATTTTACAAATAAAGGGATCGATACAAAGTCCACAATATGTTATCAACAATTGTATTCATACTTGACTTGGATATCAGTGAAACTCAAATATTGCAAAGTAAGATGGTAATATGGACTAATGGGAATTATTATTAAAACGAAATGAAAGTCTGCCAGCATAAATTCATATAAAATACGTAAAACCTATTTTATACAGATTGAAAATGAATGTAATGTGTTAATTGTTCACCAGCACACCTCCTTGCCCCAACTAATTGTTTGTCATTAGAAGCATTTGAACCTGTCTGAAAGAAACACAGTTGAAAAATAGTCTGTTATTTTCCAATATAAGTTATCTCAACAGGCACTAAGGAAAAATACTAAACACTTCAATTAAGATAAACTTCATTAAGGAAATTAAATCATTCTAAGATGTAATAGCCCTGATTTTAAATTAATAACCGTACATTACAAACTACAAGGTAAAAGGCATATTCAGATTATATAAAGAGAAAAGAAAAGGAGTCACAGATACATAAAAACAGGTTATTTGTGTTGTCAGTCCAGATCTTAGAAAACAGCTATTTTCTTCAGCTGTGAATAACCCTCTGACACATCATCCATTGGTGTATTCATGACTTTAGCAGAAACATTGTCATCTGACTCAGTACATTTGTTTTGTTCAGGACATGAACACAGACTAACAGGTTCATCCATTTTATCACAAAGCAATTGTTGAAGTCTCTGAATGCCTATAAAAACGAAGAGAATAATCAACTTTAGAGAATGCATTTATTTCAAGATTGTGTTAAAAAGCTTAAAAAGCTTAAATTACTATTTCTATGAGGGACACGGATGTGCAATATAAAATCCCAGGTTCATTAGCAGGCTTATTCCAATAAAGTCTCCCATCAAGTGTTGGAAGTGAAATGTAAACAATTTTTCACCCAGAAAATTCTAAATTATAAGTTACAACAATGTACACTGATCTGAAACTGAAAATATCAGCTTCAATTATATCCCAGTATTATTTTTTTCCAAAAGATTTTAAAAAACAATAATGAACTTTTTTCAAATTCTGTTGACTTATTTTTAGTAAATACAAATTAAGGATTCAGAAAAAATAGTTTAATCAAGTAGTATGATCTTTATTTACAATTATTTCTTCATTTACAGCACTAATCAATTTTCTTTATATCACTTTTTTCTCAAACAATCAAGAAGGATCAAATACATCATAACAAAAAATAGATACTACATTAAAATATTTTTCATTATTGTATTTGTGCTCTTGAGTGAACAAAAAAATAAGATTAAACTATATGTTCTGATTGAGACTTGATATGACTAGCTGAAATCAAGAATGGGGGCTAAATTGAAAAATGCAATTTTATAGAACTCAAAACTTACATAAAATGATCTTATCTACAGAATCTGAGAAAACTACTCTAAACCATCCAGGTTCATAACAGCAGAAGGCCTTCCCAGGACTAATAAGGAGTTTTTCATCAAGAATCTTCATCCATAAATCGATTTCAGCTTCAAATGTCTGTGTTTTTAAAAACTAAAACAACATGAAATAATTATAATTAACATAATCACCTTACATGAAAAGAATAAAAATATAAATATTTTATTTTCCACCTTTATTATTGTTAAGAATAATTCAAGATAGCAAATATACTTAATATTTCTTCCTTCTATTTTCCCCACAACAATCCTGAGATAGCTTTTGCTTAGAGAGAATGATTGGCCCAAAGTCACCCAACTTACTTTCATGCCTAAGGCAGAACTAGAACTGGTTTCTACCTTAATCACTAGTCCAAACTGGTTCTGATCTGATCAAAGTTTTCAATTAATTTACCTATTAATGAATTCCCAGATCTCCAACTTTTCCCCTAACTTAGAGATTACATAAATTTACTATTAACGGTATGTTATGATTCTGTATGCTCATCATTATACATAAGGGTAATACAATATGTAAGTTTAATTAAAACAATATTGAAGAGTGTAGGATATGCAAAATGGTTTGTTTTAAAATATTAACAAAGGCAAAATTTCATTAAATACTCTAAACATGAATGTAAAACAAGACCACTTTAAAGTATTTTGGTGGGCTTTCTTTCTGAAGATTGGAACATTTCCAAAATGTCCATAGTGAAAAATTTTGTGGTATTTCATGTTCAAAGCGTTTTGAAATGAAGTATTTTATACATCACAGCCTCAAAATATTTTGAATGATTGATACAGAAATATAAACTATCATTTTAAAATATCAATATTTTCATCCTTATTTTTCAAATGGCTAATAAAACTTATTTTCTTCAATCAATACTTTTTATTCTTTTTATTTATTTTACGTACCTTCCTGAAATCAGCCCACACATATAACCCTCCTGAGCTTTTTAAAACAGGTATTCCAATTTCTGCAAGACCATCCACGAGAATGTTTTGAGCTTCTTTTAATCTTTTTTTACTTATTGGGAAAAAGACATTATCCAGCCAGTCTGTCAAAACAATACAAATGATAATGCATTTTGATTTCCTTTTCTTTATACCATGGGTATCAAAATTTCCCGCCTCCTAAAAACACAAGCATCCACACAACAGACCAAGTAATATTGTCCAATAGCTCACTGATGGTGGTCCTTAAGTTCACTGTTAAGTACAATTATAGCTCTGGGATAAAAACTATTCAGAAAATGTGCAGTCCGAGTTTTAATTGTTTTGTATCTTCGGCCAGAAGGCAACAGTTCATAAAGATTGTAAGCAGGATGGGAAGAGTCTCTGACAATGTTGTGCAATTTCCTCAAACAGCGAGATGTGAAGATGTCGTTCAGGGCTGGTAGCTAGAGCCTCTGTCTGCTACAGAGCTGCTCCCATATCATACAAGTATGCAGTATGTCAGGAGACTCTCAATGGTGCTGCGGTAGTAGGACAGAAGTAGATACTGAGATAGATTTATCTTCCTGAGCATTTTCAGGAAGTACAGCCTCTTCTGTGCCTTCTTTACAAGCATGTTAGCATTCATGAGAGGTCCTCCGAGATATAAGTGCCCAGAAATTTAAAACTACCAACCCTCTCCACCTCCTCATCATTTATGTACAATGATAAACGTACATCTCTCTTCCTCCTGAAGTCAATTATAAGTTCTCTAGGTTTTTTTGGTGTTAAGTGTAACTATTTTCTGAACAGTTAGCATAAGTTCATGAAGCTGTTACACATAGCTTGCACACATACAGTAGCTTACGTATATTTACATTTTCAAAATATATACTCTAATAAACTTTTCTAGTTTTTCAATCTAATATCCAATTTTTCAATCGCTGCATAATCTGGTCTTTCAGTAATAATTTTAGAGTATGAACAGGGATGTGGGAGAATTTTTGTTAGCTCATGGTTTTAAATGTAACAGCTTAGTTTCAAAAAATGACTATGCTATTGGAGGATTAAGTAATCTGACATCTTAACATACTTGTAAAGTATTTTTCTAATTATGATCACTAACATGGATAGTATCAACCAATAACAATGACAAATTAATGGTGCTAGAAAAAATACAGTGGGTTTTAGTTGAACTGTAGTATGAAATTTGCTTACATAACTTCCTACTGTATACAATAATGGTTGGGAAATCATACTTTAATTACAGGGTGATAATTATTATTATTTAATTTAACAGCTATTGTTCTAAAGAGCAAAGTTCATGTTTATTTTATTGGGCCTTTGAGTCACTATTGACTCCCAGCAGCTACATCGACAAGCCCCTACAACTTTTTTGCAGGATTTCAGAAATGGTTTGCCTTTGCCTCTTTCCCAGGGCTAAGAGAGAGAGAAACTGAATCAAAGCCATCCTTGCTGGCTTTGTGTCTAAGGCAGGACTTCTGATTTCTAGCCTGATACTTCAACCATTACTCCAAACTGGCTCTATCTATGTTCATTATTTAGATGCTGTTTGTGTGAATCTGCAATCACATTTTCAGCTTTGTCTAACCTCTGTCTTTAAGGATTTGTTGGAGAACATGCTGTACAGGTCCAGAACATCCATGAAAAACCACAAGCTGATTAACTGCTTTCCTGATGTAATGATTTCTGGTGTATAATATTCCAACTCGAATACCACACATGCCAAAATCCTAGAAGGAAGAGGTAAATAAAGAACAATGTAATTTCAAATCCTTTGAAAATGGCAGTGCCCCATGCTTACCCCTAAGTAAAATATTCAGAATGTCTAGTTCTGATAAAATATGGAATTTCTCAAATTTCATTTATATAATCCAAAAGTTTACATTTTTAAAAATAAATTGCTACCTTTTTAATGAAAAATAATTCAAAGCAGAATTTATTAAAACTTGCGCTGTTGATCTTATCAAATTAATAGCACTAGATAATATTTTTGGCTGAGACCACCACATAGATCTTTAGAAAAAGAGGGGAAAAAACCTCCACAGCTTCTGTTTGAAGGCAGGAGTCTTTGAGTCTAGATCATCTAATGCAAATTTAACAGTTTTAGAAACCAAAACGAGGGAGAGGAGGGGGGGTTAAGTAATTTTTATGGTATCAAAGAGCTAGCAGCAGACAAAGATTATTATTAACAACAGATAACTATGAAGAGGACATAGAAATATATGCTTTCTAAACTGCATTTGAAAGAACCAGAAATATATGCACATTTTCAGAGCATTCTAGAGATAGGCATAAGGAAAGGTCAAATTCTAAAATGTGGAATCAGAATGCATAGACTGGGCTGTAAGTGCACATAGACTGGGCTGTAAGTGCACAAGAGTGTCTTTTGTGTGTCACCTGTGGTTTGCTGCATACTCTGAATATTATGAAAAACTGAGGGAGGGGAGGTCTCCTTACCATTTTCTTTGAGGATACTTTTGATTTTTTTTTAGATTAAAGAGATTAAACTATGCTTTGGTTATAATTATATTGCCTAGGTCCCACTAGAAACTGTCATACCACAGTAAGAGACAAAAAGTCTGAATTCCAAATTCACCAATAGCAATTACATTAATTGAATAGTATGGGAGAGAAAAAATGGACATTTCAAGTACTCAGGTTCATATTGAATGCGTGTTGATATCAAGTATTTCTAACCTACCTTGCTAAATCCCCACATAAAATGGGTTCGGTCTGGATCAGGTAAACTAAAAAGAAATATTCACAAAGAATTAATATATTCTTTTTAAAAAAATCTTTAGTTATAAGGACAATTATACCCCGATAGAGAAAATCTGTTTCACTTACTAGCAGTCTCATTACTTGTAGAAATTACAAAAATTACAAAAGAGTAGTTTATAATTATCAACTGAAGATATGTAAAACCATGTAATGAGACTGCAAACAATGAGGGTCACTAAACTGCACCTTCTGCAGAAATCAGTGCAAGTTTGATATATTGGAATTATAAATGGTTCTCATTTAATGATCACATTAATATAACCTTATGGTAGTGAATTGTACTCTGTTTATAAGCTTTGACTATATAAGTGGTCCTTGTTTAATAAACTACTCATTCAGCAACTGTTCAAATTTACAATGAGTTGTGGTGACAACTGGAACTTGTACTTAATGAGTTTTGCAGTATCCCATGGATACATGATCATAATTTGTGACTACTTCTGCTGGCTTCCCAGAAGCAAAGTCAATAAGGAAGCCAGCAGAAAGTCACAATCATGTAAGGTGTTTGCTCAAAAATTGGCAACTGGAACTGCTGTCGCTAAGTGCCTGGTTTTTTGGATTAAACTATATTACTTAATGATGGAGTTTCCAATTCCAAACACTGTAGCTGAGTGAAGATTACTTACCGTATTTATCGGCGTATAACACGCACTTTTTTCCCCCTGAAAATAGGGGGCAAATGATGTATGCGTGTTATACGCCGATATAATGTTAAGAAGCCTTCGGTGAATGCTGCTGGGATCGGGGATCAAGGACACAAATGAAAGAAGGGGAGGGAGGAAGCAACCGAAGCCTGTCCTTCTCTCTGGGTCAGCTCTCTCAGTCGCTCTCTCGCTCCTCCACCAGCACAGGAAGAAACTGCTTCAAAGAAGCGGGGGGGGGGGGTTTCCTGTCGCCGCAGCTTCCCTGAAGCGCCCGTTTCTCCCCCACCCCCACCCCGTCCGCCCGCCCGCCCGCCCGCAGTGCTCCGTTCTGCCTGCCTGCCTGCCTTCGTTAATGGTTGAATCGGAACAGCTTCGGCTGAGTAAAAGAGGCGAATAGTTATTATTCTCAGCCGAAGCTGCTCCCAAACAACCAGAAACTAAGGCAGGCAGGCAGGCAGGCAGAATGGGACACTGTGGATTGAAGCGCGCGCGCGGGGTGGGAGTGGGGGTGAAACGGGCGCTTCGGAATAGCTGCGGCGACAGGAAAAGCCCCCCCCCCCCCCCC